GTTATTGTCTGTGTGAATGTTAAGTTACACAGTTGTTAAGATTTTGTTTTTGAGCCATACCCTAAGTAATATAAATATCAGTTATTGTCTGTGTGAATGTCAAGTTACGCAGTTGTAAGATTGTGTTTTTGAGCCGTACTGGAACCATTGAAAACATTATGTTTGTGAAGAATACTCTTGAATCGGTTTATAAAGACTCAACGAAAGCAATTTTGTTATTAAGTCTAAAATTATTAATGTTACGAAATCTTGTTAGTTTAGGTATTGACAGTCCAGATGACTTCTACACATACAGATCTTCACAATGGGAAATTTAATCCATATATGCATTTTCTGTGGATACGTTATTCAGTAATTCTTACATGACTCCACAAGAATCAAGTAGGGGCCAATCAGAACAGAAAAAGAAAGGATATATGTTTAAACTTGTAACAGATACCGAGAGGTCATCAGGGTGGTTTATACTACAATCATGTTGTGTTAGTGCTCAAAAACGAAGACTTGTACAAATATTAGCATCGTGAAAATGTGATGTTTATTTATACAATAAAGCAACTCCAAGTGCAAGCCTTGATACCATATGAAGATACCAATCATTTCTCTACAATGTAGTTGATTTAAAATAATAAACACACTCTTTGTTATAAGTAACTTTTCTAGTTATGATGTGCTTTGGTATTATGGATGGTTGTCTGACTCAACATAACTAAATTTTAGAAAGCCAAAATAACGACTAATATATTTAAGCGAATCAGCTATAAAATGTAGAGTAACTAGAAGTTTTATGTGACTTGCATACATTTTGAGGAGTGTTTTCTTTGAAAATATCGGTTTTAAGAATTTTTTTAAAGATATATTTAAAATTGATATTACTTTTACAAATTCACTTTTTAAGAAAACTATTTATTGTACACAATTCTAAAAATGAGATTGTTCCCAGTCTGAAAAATACAATAAAATACTAAATATCTTACTGTACAGGATAAAAGAGAAATCCCTGGTGAGACTAGAAACAGTCTCATACACTCAACATGTTTAGACATGTTTACTATGTCATCTTCAGGAGTGCAATGTTTTGCAGGAATCACACTTACAAAAATTATCAGAATAGAATTTACATATTAAAAATTTTCACGCCATCTGCTGACAACATTTCCACCCAGTCCATCATCATTGAGCATTTCCACAAGTTATTTTTTTTATTAGTTTATGGGTATGTTAATATTTTTTTTAAGGTATAGGTCAGATACTGCCATTGAAAGAAGTAGTGTATTTTTTCTTTGCTAAAAACCATTAAGTTATAAAAAAGCTAAATGTTTAATAACAAGAAAAATATGAAATATAGTGAAAATGAAATATTTAAATGAAGTTTGTTCCCCTCACAAAGTATTTGCATTGCACACAAGAACCGAGTGTTTGAGAATGTTTGTTGTGTGATAATTATTGTGATAGGTATTCTCATATATTTGTTTTTTTCCACGAAAGTTGCAGCCTTTTTAATATTATAACCTTACATTTTATGTTATTTAAGATGTTTGTTAACTGTATGAACGTTAAGATTGTTTTTGTAACTGGTTGTTATCCTCTAGTTTTGTGACAATCCTTGCTGTAATGCAACAACCTGTGAGCTATTTCCAAATGCCACATGTGCCACAGGCTCCTGCTGTGATACAACCACATGTCAGGTTGGTATACTTCTCGATTCTTTGTACTCCAAAATTATCTTTTTCTACCTGCTATTGTAAGTTTGCTTTCTGATAGTCTTAATAATTTTTTAAACATAAAAATTTAGTTTTTCTTATTCAGCTAGAAGTATCTCTTCTGCTTCAACATTTTTTATTTTATTTCTAAACTAATAAACCAAACTTGTATATATATAATATTTTAAAAGTAATTTTAATTTTAATACTGATCTAGCAGCATTCCTTGTAATGACAAGTTGATTTATTTTTTATCATCAAGAATTGTATCCCAGCAGTTACAGGGTCATATTTCTAGACTTCTTTGTGCTTTCAAGACATTTTTGTAAGTAATTAAAACACTAATTTCTGGTTTTTACTGTTTGTATTGTACTGATAACATTCACACAGCATTTCAAAAGAAGGGTGCTTGATTATATTAAAGTACATAGCTTTTGGTTATCTTTTTCCACATCACCATAACAACAGGCTGCAAGGAGCTCCTGAATCTTGAAGAAATATATAATATCTGAAGACTAAATAATTACATTACTCACTTAAGTATAAAAACAGTCATAAGAGAAGAATATGTACAAGTGAACTTTTTCTTTTTACCTTTTTAAGAGCCCTCAAATGCCATGATAATTTTAATAATACTCTTGACCAACGCCTTTGATAACATTAGATAGAGCACAGTTATTTTAAGCTTAAATGGTGTTTCTAATTTTGTAACAAGCTAATTGTTTCTTTCCAGATTAAAGCACAAGCAATGATTTGCCGCAATGCCATGTCTGAATGTGACTTACCTGAGTTCTGTGATGGTAAATCAGAGTTCTGTCCAGATGATGTCCAAGTACAGTTTGGCACAGAGTGTGGAGATAGAAAGGTAAGTTGTACTTTAGAGCTATTTTTACAAGTTAGTTTATTCAAGGATGGTTTGGCCCATTTCTTTAGTTCTACCAAGAAAGATTTACTACTTTTTCTAAATTGTATTTGTAACTTCTTGATTATTAAAATTTACCACATGTGTAACATGTATCCTTTGGTGGCAAGCATAAAAGGCCTATATTAATGTCGAAAATGAGACGTATTGGCAGCTAATAAATTGTAACATAAATATTGTTTTATACTTTAAGTTTGGTACTTGGAGCACTGAAGCTTCTAATGCAGTATGTTAACAAACTAAAAATATCCAGCATTTTTGGTTTTTTTTAGAGACCTTGAGTTACACTTCTTAATATTATAAATAACAAGTAAACTGATATTACTAGAATGCCATACAAAAAAACATCAAAAGCATATTGGGACAAAATTAATTTGTAAATAAATCAAGCAGAGAGAGAGAGAGAATCAAAATTGTCCCATTGTTTGAACTAAATTCTGAACTTGTTTCTCTATCATGTCTAAAATAGATGATTTATTACTCTTTTGTTTAATATAATTTCATGTAATTTTCTTGACTTTCTAACTCCAAACTTATTTTCTTCCTTGGAATGTATCACATTATTGAATAATAGTTATTGTCAGCTGAACCAGCATAAAGAAATACAGAAGGCTGTAGAAGAGTAAATCTTTGATTAAGATTGACTGCAGTTGGCTAATTCAGAATTATTTGAGTAGGTTTCTTCCTTGGATCAGGCTGAGAGTGGCTCAGTGTCTTATCATGCTGGAATATGGATATATTATGTTCTGTTACCATACACACACAAAAACACAAAACTGTGCTTTAAGGAGTTGATCGAAGGAAGATTTGTTGGGAGAAGAGGAAGGGCGATGGTCAAATCTCACTATTTGATCAGACAAGATTAGCCTAAGAGTTGACAATGAGAGTGTTGACTAGCTGTCTTACCTCCAGCTTATCAGTTCAAAATTAGGGATGGCTAGTTAATATAGCCCTTGAGAAACTTTGCTCAAATATCTGAAAACAAAACTTCCTTAGATCTTTTTCTAAAATCACTAATTCATTGAAACTCACCATCAAATGTCCTCTCCTTAGACAAGTCTGAATTGCATTTCTTCTCTTCATTTAGCTCTGTCTTCAGCTGCTTTCATCTTGCATCACCATCCTTTCCCTTCCTCTTGATCTTCTTCCATCAAATTTTCCCTCTATCATCTCTTTTTCATGTCATTCCCTCTCAACACATGCCCAGTCCAGATTTTTTCCCTTTTCATGACTTGTTTCCTTTCATCAACTGATGAGACAAGTCCATATTCTTCTCCCATCTGATGTGGAACCTCTTCATATGTCTTTCTTTCAGTCCAACTTATTTTCGTGACTCTTCACCAAAACCACATTTCAAAACCTTTCAGTCTCTTTGTATTTATTATGTATTGTCCATGTCTTGCATACATTCGCTACCACACTCCAGACGTAACCGTTATTGTGTTTTTCAGTTTTCTTTTTGATGTTTAGGTAAAAACAGAATTGGAATGACTAAAGAAGCCTCAGATAAAAAAAAAAAGGGAGGGGGGACTGTTGATTTCTTTAGAACACCAACATTTTGATGTGATACGGCTATTTTATGTAGTGAAACTCTTTCACCACTTACAAATTTTTACCTTTGACAGTTATGTATAGTTTTCTACCTTTTTTTCCTTGACACTTTAGTCTTTTTCAAGTTTATTTTCATTGTAAAATCTTTTGCTGCTTCATTTAGTTTCGTAACTAAAAGTTGTTGCCCTCCTTCTATGTTAGCCAGTGCCACCTTGTCACCTGCAAGGCCTTACTATTTCTCCTCCAATATTTATTCCATCAGTCAGATTTTTTTATGCTTCTTTTATCATTGCCTCTATGTAGACATTGAAAAGTGTTGATGATAATATACACCCGTGCCTTACATCTTTTTTTATTATTGTATCATCTGGTTCACCTTCAGCTATTCTCACTCTTTCTATCTGACTTGTGTACAAAGCTGCCATCAGCCTTCTATTTTTTCAGTCCACTCCAATCATTCTGAGTATATTGAACAAGGTATTCCAATTTACCCTCTTAAATGCCTTTTCAAAATCAATGAAACAGATAAATACATCTTGGTTAAATTTCAAACTCCTTTCACAGATAGTTCTCAGTAGTACAATCACTTCTTTTGTTCCACATCCTTTTTGAAACAAGAATTGATCCTTTGCAATGTAGGCCTCTGCTTTGTTTTCAGTCTTGCCTGAATAGTTTTTAGCATGATTTTCAACATGTGTGATATCAGGCTAATTGTTCTGACATCTGAGAGGTCAGTTGAATTTGGTTTCTTTGGGATTGGCATTACTACTGATTTCATAAAGTCTGCTGGTCATTCACCTTTCTCGTACATCTTGTTGCAGAGTGTGGTAAGTTCATTTGTTCTTTCTTTTCCTAATAGATTTATCATTTCTGAAGGGATTCAATCAATTTCTTCTGTCTTCCTTTTTTCAATACCTTTGACTACTGCAAAGTGAACTTTTAAGGATATAAGGACCATTGTCTTCTTTGTCCACACTTTTGTCCTCTGTTTCTTTTGTATGGATTTTCTTGCTTATTTTAGAGATGTTAGGTAAACATATAGTTTCAATAAATCAATTTAACACAAAGATACAAAACCCTTCAGCCTGGATGCTTTCTACAGGTGGACCTTTCAATAGTGCTTGGGTTATACGGTTTCATATCTTTATGTTAGAGCTTTTCTATATACTCTGACTTTTTCTGCTTTCTCTGCTTGTGTGGTATCACTTGCATTAGCTTGTCATTTTCTTGTGATTTGTTTCATTTCTTTGTACAGTTTCTTTTTGTGTATTCTTTTTTTCCTTCTTTTGTATTGATATTCTTCCATTTTCTTCTCTTCTCCATTTTGTTATCATTTCCTCTGTTATAGAAGGTTTTTCTGTCTTCTACCTGTCTCTTTCTGTGGATGTTATTTTCTGCACTTAGGAGTATTCTGTTCTTTATACTATTACAATGTTCTTACACACTCAAGACCTTTATGTTGCCTACTTGTTTTTGTTGCATGATTGCTTCTTTAATCTGATCCTTGAGTACTACTACTCCTTTAAATAAATATTTCATCTCTTTCTTAGGCCAATTTTCTTCAGTTCAAGCCTTGAAGTTAATACCACTAAATTTTGATCAGTCTGCATCTACTCCTGGGTAGCTCTGAGCATTTAGCATGCTGTTTCTGTAACTCTATTTGACTGTAGTCTAATAACAGTTATCTTTGTTACTTCTTCTGGCATATTCAGTAAAATCACAAAGTTTGCTTATTTAGAAGAGTTGACATAATGAAATTATTTTTTCCTTTTCTTCTGTAGAAAAAATAGTCACTTACTGTAATTGTGATATGATTAAAAAAATCATACATACCTATGTTTCTGTTGTGAAATAAATAAAATTTTCAAAAAATAAATACTATTTTACTACAAGCTTTTAGTAGGCCATTGTTTTGTAAACTGCCAGGAAGGTGACTTATTAAACACATCTAGTAAGGAATAAAATGTTGTGTTTCAATGATTATATTCATTTAAATTTACTTTAAGAAATATTTCAGTTTTGTTATTGCAGATTAAAACTGGTGAATATTATTGCAAGTCTCTTGTGTTGTTTACTGTTTATATCTAATCTTTTGTAAATTGTTTTTAATTCTTAATTTGGATTTTTCTAACAATATTTTGACTTGCTGATAGGCATACTGCTATAATGGGCATTGCAGAAGTCATGCTGACCAATGTAAATTGTTATGGGGACCATCTGGTAAGATGTCAGATAACCGTTGTTTTCAACAAAATGTGAAGGGTAACGTTAATGGAAATTGTGGTTTCCAGCGCATGAATCAAAGCTACACAGCCTGTCAACCTGAGTGAGTTTTTTTATAGATAAACATTGTAAAATATACATTTATTAGAACTCTAACTGAAGTAATAAACAATCTTACTCCTTGATTTTAAGATTTTTGTAGTCCCAAACTAACTTTTATCAAATCCATATAGGATGTACTTTTTACTTTGTAAACATTTTGAATGAATTTAAGCAGAGAATATCAACATTGTAATTTAATTTTGCAGTAACTTTCATTACTGTTTTCCTTAACGTTCAGTTACAGTTTTTTGTTGAGCTATATGAGGACAGGTGTGTGTTATGTTAAATTTCTGAATAATATACCATTTGACTGTTAATATTTTAGCTGGTTAAAGCTTAAAAAGACCCATCTGAAACGTACATTGACATAAAATGTAAGCAAGTATGTCACTTACTGTTTGAACAATTAAAATACACTCCTGAAGAGATGATATTGAGTCATTTAAAAAGATTTTAATGATATGTTCACCTAATTTAAGTGAAAACAAGTATTTGATTACTTTATACATTTTAAAGTCGGTGTTTTTACAGTATTGTTAAATCAGTATTGGTTTATTACTACATTTTGCAAATAATTTGGGACAAAAACAAAAATTTCACATACATTTAATTTAATATAGTTCAATGTTCTTATCTCATTATAGAGATATCATGTGTGGCATGCTTCATTGTGTCCACCTGAATGAGAGACTGGAATTTGGAATGGAGTCTGCTGCAGTTTTAGCTCGCTCTTTCATCAATGTGCGAGGGAAAATATTGACTTGCCGTTCTGCTATAGTTGACCTTGGATTGACAAGTACAGATCCAGGTCTAGCTCCCGATGGAGCTAAGTGTGGAGAAAATAAGGTTAGTTACAAACCATGGATACTCAAAGTGTGATTTATTTTTACTAAATGTTTGAACGTAATGCATAGCTGTTATCCGATTCTCTGCTTAAATATATATACTTGTAAGACTATTTTATCTCAATACTAAAACTAATTATTTGTGTTGTTTGAAAACCTAGATTTCCATTTGGAATTTTCTAAAACTAATATTCAGTTTATTTCCTCAGAAACTCTCTTATTACACAAGATTTTAGGCCTAAAATATATACTCAGTATTTATTAGTAGTATATTTTTGTTTTGACAAAGTAGGTGTGATGAATTCTGAATATATACACTTCATAAATTCATTTTAGCTGTCAGTATAATGTCGTTTTTAGATAGAACATGTTTATGGCCCTTGTTTACAGCAAGTTTTCTTATTTCGGAAGCAGGTTCAAGCTTTTTCCTTTAAGAAAATACAAAGTTTGTATAGAAAGAAATGAAACAGCCAAATGTAGTTGATAAAAGTATTTTAATTTCACTAAATTAGTTCTTTGAAGCTCTAGAGGGAGCTTTGATATATGGCATTTTTGAAAACTTTTCAGCTGGATGTTTCTGAAACTTTTTACTTTCCCTCCTATTTTCAGCTTTGTGTGAATCAGAAATGTGTGTCTATTCAAGAAGTGGAAAATGTCCGGTGCCCGTATGACTGTAATGGACATGGAGTAAGTACTACAGAAAACTACATTGGTAAAGATTTTATTTAAATACAGAAGCTAAATCTCAACAACTATATAGTATGCAAGATATTCAAGTTCATGTCTGTTTCAAATAATAGAATAATATAAGATAATTTTTGTAAATAAATGATAATGTTGGTCATCTTCCCAACAACCAACATGACATGTGCAAAAGTGTCATTAATTTAGATGTGAAAAAGTTAATTATGGTGTTCCTGTTATGTAAAATGCATCAATAAACCTATTCTAATTTTTTGAGGCAATCACTGTCAAGCACATAGCAATCTGTTCATTTCAAAGTAGAGTATACCAAGATTGTAGGTACGTATGGTTTGTAAGTTTATAAAGTCGGTGTTCTTGGAGTAATTAGTTTATAGACGAAACTTGCATACCAAGTATACTTCACTAGCAATAATGAAGTGAGGATTTCTTGAATGTCATCATTATCATGCCATAAAAGTACCCTTTTCCTTTGAGAATCCGGGAAAGTTAATTTATTACCTTTTTTTTAAGTTAGCACTTCGGTGTATTTTGGTTGTTTTTTGAACAGTTTAAAGGCACTGACACAAGCTATATAACATGATTGAAAGAGATTTCAGTGTCATCTGTTCTCTATTGCCTGAAGATTAGATGTTATAGTCAACACAGGCATAAGTAGATATACATAAGCTCAAGTATGGCTAATAAGAAAACAATATAAACACATGCAATTACATAATTAGTACTTCAAAAAGTTAAAAGTTTCATAGATAAAAATCACTAAATATATTGAAAATAATACTAAAAAGTTATACCATGAAGTTTATAGCTACATTCAACTATCACGAATAAAGTATGCTTAGCATGTGTTTATTTCCAAGTCTTTTCATATTTCTCTTCTAACTTCTGGCTCGAAACAACAATTTTTAATTCAAAAGTATCAAATACAAGCTCATTGTATTAGCATAAAACCTAACTATTATCAAGTTTAACACACAAAAAGTTAAATTATTGTATATAATTTATTAATGTTAAATAATACCGTCATTTCAGTCCAAAGTGAAAAGCATTAAGCAGATTTGTACTATATATATATATAAAAAAAAACGTGACCAATTGTTTTTGTTTTGTTTTTTACCAACTGGTTTTCATTATTAATTGACAGTTGTGATTTCTAGCTCCATACAACCAGTTACTTGGTTATATTTACCAATAAAAGGAAAATGGATATAACAGTGAAGTATTTTTTATACTGTTGTTTACACAGTTTTGAGTTTTATAAGTGTAACACATAACAAGCAGTAAACAGAATTGATTGAAAACAATAGTGAATTTTGTAATGTAATAAAGAGTAAATAAACATGACTGATACCATTTCATTACAATCTAAACCTTTACAATGACCTGTGAAGAAGTTCAACTTTGTGCTACTTGGCTTTTCCTAGCCCACAACCTTATGAATAATATTACACTCTTGAAGCATGAATAGTTAAGAGATCATAGGTACTAGATTTAACAGTGAAGCTAGACAACCCCAAACACTCTTTTGAAATGAAAAAAAGCATTAAGGTAGGCATGCAAACAATAGTTACTGTTTAACAAACTTACCATTTGAATTCATATAAAATTATTTAGTTACTTCTTTTAAAAAAACCGGTGATGTAGCCAGAATGGTAAGATCTGATATAGCTCAAATGTTCAATAAGAAAAAATATTTAATTTAAGTAATTTGCTAAGGACATGTGTATGGGGTCACACTATGTAACCTTTGTTTTAACCTTGAAAGTTTTGATGTTAACTATAATTGTTATTGTTTATCTAAAACTTTATTTTTTTGTTTAGATATGTAACAGTAGACATAACTGTCACTGTGAAGTTGGATATGCCCCACCATTTTGTGATTATCCTGGTGTGGGGGGAAGTGTTGACAGTGGTCCAGCATCTGTTTTAAATAGTAAGTTTATTTAAAATGTTTCAAGTGTTAATAGAGACTTAATTCCTGTTCGTAACAGTGAATTTCTGTAAGTTGTTCAAGTGTTGACAGAGATCTAGCCTACAAACGTAGAAAATGTTTATCAATCTATAACTTTTGTCACTGATTCAACACATTTCATAACAATAAAGTAGTTTATCTTCTTTTATGTATAAAGAGCAGTCTGCCTCTTCGATGGCTTAATACTAAGCTTGAGGGTTTATAATGATAAAAATTAAGTTTTGATACCAGCTATGGGCACAGATATCCCATTGTGTAACTTTGTGCTTAATGAACAAAAAAATATTGATACTGGTTGACCAGCTGTATATTAATAAGTTACATGTATGTTCATAGTTTGCTCTATACATAAAATATAAAATTGTGTGTAACATCAATTTATTAATTTGTCAGTATTGTTGACAGCACTCTTGATTAGTTACTCTACTTGACTGTTCACATTGGTATTGACTGAATATGCTCCAAGTATTAAGGTGGTGTAGTAGTCTCGCTTATAGTTACTAAGCTATAACTGTTCCCACTGATATTGACAGAAGTCCAGCACTTGTTTCTAATGGAAATAACTATTCAAGCTGTTCTCTGCATTGAAAGGTAACAAATAATATATGAAGTTAAATGTACCTAAAACTAATTTTCTTAATATATATATATATATATATAAAAGCAATAACAAACCATCATGAATGGGAAAGGGGCAAAACGTTCTTTAAAAGAGCTATGCTACTTCATCTAAGTTTGTAGATAATAAGAAAACTTTTTTTTTTCAGATAACTATGACTTTATGATTGCAATGTATGTTATCTTCCTGGGTATTATTCCTATTGGAGCAATTACGGGAGTAGCGGTGTTTTACTTTCGTCGACACTTAAACACCTGGTGGATTGCTAAAGCAAGAAAGGCAGCCATCCGGTAAGTTGACCTGTTCCATGAGACTTCTTATTATAGAATAAACCAACTGTTTTCATAACAAGACAAGTTGTAAGTTATGCAAGAATAAAATAATTTCTTAAAGTGACAATAGAGATAAAGCGAAGAAAATCAGAAAGAAGGTTTTTTAATACTAGAAATAATTGACCTTATAATACAAAATTTATTTTTCTTTAAATGGACACTCAATGTTTCCTTTAGGAGCATTCCACTAAAACATAAATCGTAACTGACACTACAAAGCTTCAAGTAGTTTAAATAATAAATTCCATTCAAGTCTATAGCATGTGTTTGACATGTTAAGTGTTAAAGCTTATTCTTGAAAGAACCGTATTGTGTTATTGTTTATTTTTATTATGTTTTAAAGTTGTATGCTGGAATTTGACAAGTATGAATTGTAAACTGAATACAGAGTAGTAAATCGCTCAGCTTTAAAGTTCAAACTCATAACCAAATGAGTTTAAAATAGGAATAATTGCCATTGAGTATGCTTTACTGCCTTAACTTAGAATGAATTTAACTGTTAAATATGTTATTAGTTGATATTAATATGCAATTGTCAGCATAAAATTAATAAGGTAAATCAAAATCTAATGGCAAACTTAACTCTTAAGAGTAAAAAAATAAACGATGGCACTGATTCTACGATAACGAATAGTAGTGATGCATGACTAGAGCAAAAAAATGAGGTAACTTGTTTATTTATCAATTATTTGTTTTTCTGTAGTTCACGTGCCAAGCAGGCTGCAGAGAGGAAAAGTCGTCCACTCTCTAAGTTCACTTTTGATCAGCCAGGTGATGTCAGATCCCTAGAAATATCAGCACCGATACCTCAAGAAGGGAAGGTACCAGCAGTTACAACCTTGCCTCGTCGTAAAGATGTACCTCAGAGGAGCAGTTTTCGGGGATTAGAAATCTCTGCACCCATACCACAGAGCACTACAAGTAACCTTCCAGCACAGGCTGTGCCAGTAAGACCTGCTCCTCCTCGCCCCGAAGCATCTACTCATAGGTCTCCCTCTTGGGCCCCATCTTCATGTACAGATGCTTTTCATGTTTCTCCTGTAGCTCGGACATCTAGTACCCGATCTAAAGGAAATGCACGACCTATGAGCATCCCTGCAGCTCGACCTAATATACCACCTCCTCGACCCCCTCCTCCACAAATGGGAAAAACATGCCCCTCACCACAAGATAAACTTCAGAGAAGTCAGTCTGCTAACAGCCCACCTACAAGCCATATTAAATCTTCTTCTGGCATCAATGTTAATAATGCAACTAGTACAATATCTAATAATTTACAGAAGCTACCACCAGGATCAACTACCATTTCAGGTCCTACTCTCATCAGTGCTTCTAATCCAGTAGTAAAAAATAATCTGGGGTCTAATATAAATTTGAAGATAGGAACTCAACCCAAATCACTGAACAAAACAAATCCTTCTGTAACAACACAACCAGTTTTTATTAAACCTTCAAACCTGCAAACATCTAGTGGCCAGTCACGGCTTGGAAAGTTTTCTGCTCCTTTATTTGGGCGTTTCCTTGGAGGATCCCAGAAAGATTCATTAGATACAAATAATTTGAACTCTCCTGGACTAAAAAAGCTTCCTGAAACAAAGTTAGGAACTTTAAACTCAAATATTTCTGATCAACCAGAGATGGAAAATGTATATGAAGAACCACCTAGTCCTAGTTCTCTGTATTATGATGATTGTCAGAACACATTAGATTTTTCAGACACACCACTTGCCTTTGTTCACCAAGAGTTAGAAAGTGATCCTACTACATCACAAGCCCAGAGTGTCACTACATCTTCTCCCACTACCACATTTATTCCCTCAAAACCTCGATTCACTAGCACCGCAGGGTCAGTTGGTGATAGAAAATCTAATCTTCCACCACATCCTACAAATGTAAAACTCAATACTACAGAAGTTAAAGGTCCATTTGGGCGATCTGTATTCAGTAAAAAAAAAAGCGATACTAAGAACACAGATGCTTGTATGCCTTTAGGTAGTAATACGAGCAATCTTTCTTCTGTAAACCCACAACGAGCATCATCTAGTTTCACGGATAATTCAGTACTACCAGCAGATAGTGCGTCTAAAACCAAGACCAGTTCTCCTGTAAAATCGGTCAGAAAAGTCCGGAGTAGTGTCGGTGATACTCGACTACAAACATCTTCTCCACATGCTACTCCTACTCGTTCATTTTCAACAGCATCAGGTCAACCATCAAAGGTTGCCTCATTAGCCCAAAAATTTGAGAATAGTACCACAAAAGAACAGGGGAATTCTTCATTTCATGGCCCCTCAAAGTTTATGAATAGATTTGAGAATCAAACTAATCCGAAGATTTAAGTAGAATTAAAGTCTAGCCATGATAGTTCTAGTGATAACTTATAAGTATGCCCATGCTAATTTTTTTTTTTTTTGCATAGAACTTTTGTTTTTGTTATGGTAACTGGGGGTGTAAAAAAAAAAACGTTGATAGAGTTCAAGTTAAAGATTAATTTTTAACTTGTATGTGATATTCATTCCACCCAGCAGAAACACTTAGCTAGCTCAAAGTATTTATTAATTGACAAATCTGGGCTTTTATTTTTTATTGTGTGCAACAGTTTTGTATTTAGTTTGAAGCACAAGTAAATGCAGTATATGTTATTCATACCTAACCTTGCATTGATATAAGCAGCTATAAACCTGGAATTGAATAAACAAATGTGTTGATTAAAACTAGTCTAGCTTTATTACATATAAGTATATTAGCCTACATTATGTAAAAAAATCCACCCAAAACTTTACTGTTGGTAAGTATCTGTTCCCTAAAGCCCAGCTAGGTTGATTATAGAAATTCTCGTACTTTATAGATGCCATTAAGTAAGGAGCTTATTTAGGCTAACTTTACTTTAAACAGTCACCTTTATATTTTAGCTTTGCATTGTATATTCCTTGCATTTTTTAATACAAGTTAATATATGACCTGTGTGATTATTATTTAAAAAAAAAGTAATCATTACTTTAAATCCCCAGAAATCATCCTGTTTTACAATTTAGTCAATTTTCATTTAAATTGCAAGGTTTTTGCCTAAAAATAACTTGCTGTTACTACTTCATCAGAATATTTATATACAGTACAAGATTAATGTAGTATGACTTAATTCTCTGACAAAACTGAAGTAAAAATGTTGAAAAAATACGTTAAGCTACAGGGTTTGCAACATCAAGTAATTCCTGTTTTTAAGTACTCAATTACTCGTGCTGGGGTTTATTTTTTTGTTAGTATAGAAGCAAATCTCGAGGTATCCTGCTAACTGTTACCAAGTGTATGCTGAAAATGTATATTAAAAGTGTAATATCTCTCTTTTTTTTTCTGGATTAATCATACTTTAACACATTCTTTTGTGTGCGTTTAGAATGTGTGTTTCATATTAGGTTTCTTTAAGCTTAGGATTTTATCAGAATAATTATATTATTCATTGAAGAACTTGTAACTAATTTTAGTTTATAATTAGAAATGACTAAAAAGGAAATCAGTTATTAGGTAAGGTGTTATGTGCATAAATAAAAATATAGCATATAAAACTACAAGTTAACACCAATGGCTGGCGACCTTTTTGACAGGTGAGCCATACTGTATATGGCAACATTTTCAATGAACTGAAGTTATTGTACAACATGTCCTGTAATTCTTCTTCTCTGCAGAGTCAATTTCTTAGATCCTCGTTAACCAATCTGTAGCTTGCATAATGAAGCTCTCCTCTTGGTATGGCAATGGGCTGATCCGTGTTCTTTGTTTGAATACACCTAGTGTTTGTTTATGCAGAAATATTAAGTTGTGACTGACACTTTAGTAGCAGCTAGTTTTATCACACACTTATACATCATTACAACTAAAATATAATTAATGATAAAAGTAATGTGCCTAGGTTAGGGATATGGAAGTTATAAATGAGACAGTGTTTCATTGGCCTCATCTGGAAAGCTGGTGCCACTTCCACTTAAATTATCCTTGATAGGTTCTGTCCATTGGATATACTTTTACATTATGTACTGTATAAATAACAATTTGTTAAAATTCAGACCTAGGACATTTTTTTATAATTATAAGAGCATTGCAACTATACAGTAAGCTGTATAAATTTTGTAGGAAGTCGTGTTAATGACTAAGAAAGGTTCAGATGTGTTGCCTGACTTAATGGTGTACGTGCTAGATTGAATAATTTTCAATCGTGTGTTGAAAATATGCAGGCATTCATTTTCACTCGAGGTTATTCGTCTAATTCTTAGTCAGTCTGCATGTTAATTTGTTGTTAAGAGTTATTTGAACTCTGATTTTGTGCCACTTTAAAATTTGCATTCAACAGTTTTTCCTCATCAGTAAGTCTGTGTTAAGCTAATTTATGGCAGTGTATGTGAAGATTGAATAGTGTTGTAACATTGGGTTTTTCTCTATTCTCTAATGAGTCTAATCATTGCAATTCTAATAGCTAAGTGTGTACTTCTTGTTCTAATTTCAGCCATGTAGAGAATTTCTCACATGTTGATATCCATGAATTTTATACTTGATGTCCAATTATACCTGACAAGGAAAAGTTATAAATCTAACAATATCAGAAATTATTAAGTGGATACAAAGACCTGGGACCAGATTGCAGCTATGCCTTGAAACATGCCATATTAGAACATAAAATCATATGAAATGTTTTAATTTTTTATCCTAAAGGCATCAAGTATACTAACAATTAACCACGTTTTCTTTTAGCTTTGGCCCTACAAAAATTGAGGCAGCTGATCTGAGGTCATAGTGCTGCTCTGATATGTGAATGTTACAATGTATTTTAGATAGTGAAATAAAACTTTTTGTGTGTACTATCATGTGTGGCACAAAAAATATAGTTGGTAAATATTTTTCTAATAAGACTATACAGGACACTTTCATTAATTTAAATTGTACGGCACTTCATAGAGATGCTGACTCACACCATTAGAATTTTCAGGGATCTTGACTTTAAGCACCAAAAATGCATATCTTTCTTGTAAAATACAATCCATATATTTTGTTTGGGGACTATACTCTGATCCACACTATTTTTCAGTAGTCATATCTTTTTTAAACTCCAGGATAATCTTGATTCATGATTTAAAGACTATTCTTATGTTTGGAAATTGTATTCTTATCCACTCTCTTTCTATATTGTAATCATGTATCTTTTTAAGCCCCAAATATACTTGTGTCATAGTTAGAAGGCAGTTCTTAGGTCAAGTTTGATAATCATGTTATCTTATGTGGTTGAAGTAGCAAATAAACAGAAAGGTAGCATTAAATCTCATGCTTGGACTTAAACTCTTGATATGAGTCAGGAAAAGAGTAATATTGTTCCCCTCCTAAGTGACATGTATCTTTTTAAGCCCCAAATATATTTGTGTCATGGTTAGAAGGCAGTCCTTAGGTCAAGTTTGGTAATCGTGTTATCTTATGTGGTTGAAGTAGCAAATAAACAGAAAGGTAGCATTAAACCTCATGCTTGGACTTAAACTCTTGATATGAATCAGGAAAAGAGTAATATTGTTCCCCTCCTAAGTCACATTGATTTTCTTGATACAAGTTAGTAGCTTTTTGTACACTATTGCTAATAATAATATAAAATATGTTAAAGTAACAAGTTGAAATGAAACAACAAAGACTTTAATTCTAGTGATCGTATCAATGTATGTATGTGGTTGCCTCAGGTAACACTTTCAATGTATTCTCTTTGTGGAACCTATCTAGACAGTCTTTCCCAGGAATTGAATTTTTAGTACACAATAAATAATTTAAATCTATATTGGTTGCTACAGTCATTGATGACATCTTTATACATATATTCTAGCTTACCACAAGTGCCTGTAAAACATGAACTAAACTTTGAAATAAAATATCAGGCAAGTATCAAGTATGAACCTTCTTAATTTATAGAAATTTATACAAGTGCAAGTCTTTAGCTGTCTGACTTGTATCAGCTATGAATTAAAGAAAAAAAGTTTGCCCTCTGAAAACATAAAATGTTATTCTGATAGCATTTTAAACTGCTGATGATTATGCTCTATTTTACAAAATATATTATGCAGTTTGAATTATTATTACTCTGTTAGAAGTAGTTAATAATACATTTAAAAAAAGGTATTCATCCAGTATCCAATAATTACACAAAATGTTTTGAAAGTTTCAGATCTTACCTCATTGAGCTATTTTTAACATCTCATTATCACAGGCATTTTGAGATCAGTTTCATAACTATTGAATTAGTGTTTAATATTAATACTGTTCAACTGAAAGGTAGACTTTTGAAAAAGTTTGATACATCTGGAAAGTTTGTATGCCCGTTCCCTAAGTATTTTATTTTGGAAACTGATCTACGGCCTCGAAGGAAATCAAGTATCTTGTCCGAAACCAGATTAATGGGTTAACAGTTATTTTACCTTTACCTGGTAATAAGTTACAATTTCTATGAGTACACAAGTAGCTTAACAGCACTGTTTTTCAAACAAACTCGTACTAAGTTTTCAGTTCTTACATGTGAGGAGGTTATGTTAATCTTAGAAGAATAGCTTTCTTTGTTTGGGGTTATATATATATGCATGAATATTCAGGCTCAAACATTTTTCGTATCTGTTAGTCACCATTTTACATTTACTTTACTTGATTAATGCATGATTTGTTAAAATGCCATGGCTTGTTATCTTGAATTAATGAGGGGAGTATCACATTATATTGGTGGATTGCTAAAGTTTTGTTTAGTCCTAATTTTCTGTATTACTGTTTAACACAAGTTTGTCATAACATTATTAATGAAGTTATATATATATTTTTATCTTGAGAAGAATTGTGTTTTTGAACTTCATTGATTCAGCAGTGTCAGTGTATATTATTTTGTTTGTACATTTCTATATATCTAGATATAATGTATGTATTAGTTATCAATATTTCATTTGAGTTATTTTTTATTCCATTATTTTTTGTTGAGGAAAATTGTTTGTTGAGACAGCTAAAAGGCATTTTAGGGAAAATATTTTGGATTCATAAATATTTAGAAACAGGCTTATTTTGTTTCATGTCATACAGTTGTATTCATTATAGAAATTCTCAACAAAGCTACAAAAATATATAATTACTAGATTGGTGAATTAGATTTTTTCAAGAAAACCTTATTTAAACTAAATGTGAGAAATTGCAAGTTTTTAATACTTTTGTATGTTTGACACTGTAGCTTCTGGAATCATGAGTTGTAATAGCCATATTATGGTTAAACTTGGTGTACATATTCTGTAGTGGTACAATATCCTGTCATAATTATGTTTGTTTTTAAAACTCCACTATACAAAGGAACATTTTCAGTGGTTTTCAAAGGAATACCCCATTTTGTATGTATTATTATTGTCACATTGTTGTTTCAGTTCCATAATGTGTGGATTTTGTTTTCTAGCAAAATATATTCTGAGTTACAAACTAAATGCCCAACTACAATGACAAATGGGTCCAGCAGTGCATACTAGTTTTTGTTGTTGGATGACATTTTTGCTTCATTGAATGCTGTCATTTTAAAAACTTGAGATGCTTGTAATAACAATCTATGTTAGATATTATAAGATTGTTTTCTTTTATACGCATGTAAAATAACATGCCTTCTAGTCACCTCTTCTGTAAGGGCTTCTTTCCAGCAGTCTCCAGTTCAATAATTTATGGTTATCAAATGTTACCTCCGTGTGTGTGTGTGTGTTATGTCAAAGCATTATCTCTTAACTTTTTTACTGCCACATTTATAGATGAACAAATTTTTAAGTGGATATACACACAGAAATGCATGGTGGTTATACTTGCTTGTATTTCAATTGTTACTTGTCATATAAAGATAATTTTTTGAGATAATTAAGATATTTCACAGATGATTATGTTTTCAGGTTATAAGAAGTAGCAAGTAAAATAATCATTTTTGCCTTTATTTCCAAATTAATATGCAACAATTAATATTTCTTAACACCTGCCACACGAGCCAGACCGGCATTTTGATGTGGTTCCAAAAAAATGAGTCATTCCAGAAAGGTTTGGGTTGTTTTGATTAGACAAAAAAGAAGATATTTGTCAATATTTTCGAGGTCTAGGTTGCTGGACCTGACCTGTGACCTGACCCAAGACCATGAGAGCCAACATGGAGAAGTTAACTTGTAAATTTAAAATATAACTATGTTGCAATGAAACATGCTTGAAATATTCTAGATGTGGTTGTGAATGTGATGGTTTAAGTGTAGCGATTAAGCTAAATCATAAGTCCAGGTCAGATGAGGGAAGAACTTATTCGAAGATATCCTAATTGATTTGACATGCCAACTGAATTGGAGATTCATCAATTGGTTACTACGTTAATAGCAAAACATAAAAAAAAAAAAAATGGCCACAGTAGTATCGTTATCTTGAAAAGGAGGGAATTAGGATCATACAAGAAATCATTAGTTTCAGTATTTTGTGAAATTAATGGCATAGTAAAGCCCAAAGATGCAGTGTTTAAGTTGAAGCAGATGAACATTGCATTACAAGATGACTTCCCTAGTGATTCTCAAATTAAAAATGACATTTCTGCAATGAAAAGTAAATATAAGAAGGATGGTATAATGCCCTGTATGGTAACACCATAGTATAATCCATACAGATTTCATCCTGCCATATTTTCATTAATATTTAGTTTTTTCATTTTAGAAATAACCCTAAATCACCAGTTTCTGTAATGACCCCCCCATTGACCATCCTAGGCTCAATACTAAAAGATGCTTGGCTGGCTCGTATGGCAAGTATTAAAATTAATTTTTGATTTTATAGTGTATCTATTTTTCCAAAAATTTAATTAATACCACACTTTGCAAGGCTAAAATGAAGGTTATATAGTGTCTCCCATACATGTGCCCATGGCAGTTAAAGGGTTAAATGTTGAATTTAGAAGTCTTAACATCTCTAGCCAAATGCCACCTAGTTAATATTTTACTTATTAGTGTTGGAATGGTACAGAAGTGTCTAAAATCCAATACTAGTTTCCCTCTTACAATACTTTTATTATTTGTTTGACTTTCAGAGGTTTCTTCTCCCACTAAACGTATTTACATGGTATCAAGCATTTAATATTTATCCCTCTTCATGACAGCAAGTGAAAATTCTACATTAATGAAAGTATTTTCGAATAATTGGAAAATCTGATATTTGTTCTACCAAACTATTTTTTTTTTCTTTCAGATCTTGAAAAATTGTTTAAAGATGATGATAAAATTAACATAAGAGTTTAGTATTAATGAACAGAAAAAAAACCCATCATGTAATAATTTGGCATGACATGCTACTCTAGACACCAGTGAAAAATTCTGATGAATATGTATAATACAAATTTTGCTTTCATGTTATTATTTGTTACTAACTTGAAAAACTATTTTTACCTAATCTTGATATTGCTTTGGGGAGGGGTAATTTCAATGTCTTGAAAATTAAAAGCAGGTTGTGTACATACATATCACCTGCTATATTAGTATTTTGTATGTGAAGTGACTGTAAATAAAATACTTACATTGCATCTGAAATGATATGATTGTTATCAATAATAAAAATACACCTTAGTTTATTATAGGAAGCAAACTGAATGACATAATTTGACTTGGATGTTTTAATGTTACAGGTTTAAGATATAATTTTTTTTTGTATGAATCATGTTGAAATGTCATTTATCCAAAATAATTATTGTTCAAACAAAAATACATTTGAGACCTTGAGAATAAAATAAATGTAGTCTTGAAGCTTTGCATGGATAAACAGCTATAACATCATAATTTGTAAACCAAATAACGTATATTACTAGATACATAATTTATTATTTATTCATTCAGCATATGTACATGAATTTACAAGATTTTTATTAACTTCACAATTTCACATTACTTATTTCACTTAATTTTCAATTCTAATAAAAGTCGCCAGGTTTGTCAAATTCAAATCAATAAAACTCATTTTAAGAAAAATCTAAAGAAAAAAAAAAGCTTCATAAAATATCTGTTTAGGAGAAGCTTAAACTTTCTACTGGCTATGGACACGTAACATAAGCACTCTAGGAGCTCTAATGAAGGAAGGTCGTTTCACTTTGTGACCTGCTGAATCTAAAAAGACGTACGTTTGAAAGCATACAGAAAAGTAGAAAGTTTCAAATTGCATAAGTACTAACGGATATATTTTAAGTATTGACACATTATCTGGCAAAATGTTTTACACCTCAAACATTCTCCTTTTGCAAATGAAATTATCTAACATATAGCTTACAAACTATTGATTACATTAATTGTTTATAGGCGATTAAATCAGTACTATAAAAAACAATGAATTAAATATCGGTATTGCGATATATAACTATATATATATATTGTTCTCCTTGTCAAAAGTCCACTTAGTTATATTCAGTTACTTTAGAATTTCAGTTGACAAGCCGAAATATCTTCTCTATTACTATCGCAATGCCCTCAGTAGCACAGCGGCATGTCTGCTTTCTTGCACTACTAGAAACCGGGTTTCGATACCCGTGGTGGGCAGAGCACAGATAGCCCATTGTGTAGCTTTGTGCTTAACTTCAAACAAACAAACAAATACTATCGCACTGGTATTCTGTGTGTGATTCACTTACAATTATGGCGCGAGTTACCGTAATCGTTTGGTCTTCTTTCTTCTGTTCCTTTTGTCAAAGTGCACTCAGGCTGATTCAATGACTTTAGACCACGCTTTGACGGAATAATTATTCTTCTTATCTACTTTTCTACTGTTAGTATTACTCTAACAAATTAAACGTTAGGCCTATGTTAATCGTTAGGCTTGTCACTTCTACGGTAGTTAACTTCACGCCAAACCTTTTCTTGTTGTAACTTTACACTCTTCTGTTATTGTCTGTCTGCTGTTTCCTCTCGTCTTACACTATTTATATGTTTATCACTTAATTGTGATAATCATTTTTCTAGAAATCTCTATATTCTCGACGTCAACGTATTGCACGCGATGTTCGATAGTCTCAACTTCAATGAATTATAAACACAACTTCCAACAGTCGTCTGCTTTTAACTCTTATTATAACAAAAACTACACAATAATAAAATATTCACTCACAAAATAAATTAATCAATTATATGTAAACTAAATAGTCTTTTATATCATGACATAGGGAAACGTAGTATGTTTGCATATCACATGTATAATAATCTAATGCTTCATGTAGAATGAATCTTTTTTTCTGTAATATAAAACAATATACTTATAACAGCCAGTTAACATTGATATACGTTTAGTTATATTTAGTATCATTCAAACATAATTTTTGTAGTAATTAATTTGTCACACTATAAATATATTTCACGCACTTTAATACTTGGCAGCTAAAAGAATTCTTGGGGACCAATCTGACTCTTAAGCGTTTCAACTGAACATACAATCGTTGGTTATTAGGTCTTCTTGAATTAAAATTAAAGCTTATAATATCAAATTAACCTTTTATATAGTTTCCTAGATTTTTAAGACTGTGTGATAAACAGTTGTTATGGTATGAATGCCTTTTCCAAGTTGATGAAGTATGGTTGTGATAAATTATACTTGCCAAAAAACATTATTATTAGTCCTATTATGTTCTTCAACACAGCATTCTTTATCAAGCCTCTTAGGGATTTTCAAAAATTGGAAGAGTGAATAATAATAGTATTCCAACCACATTATATTCGCTATATCCATATTTGTGTTTATTGCAGCCTAACCGAACTGATGTGCTTTAAATCGAGCGAAACGTGCAGTCGGCAACGGAACATGTAAATATTAAACGATGAACTATGTTATGATTTGTTCGTTATTAAGCACAAAGCTACACAATGGGCTATCTGTGCTCTGCCCACTATGGGTATCGAAACCCGGTTTTTAGCGTTGTAAGTCCGCAGACATACCGCTGTGCCACCTGGGAGCAAACTATGTTATCAATAGATATTTTACTAAACATTACCAACAGTATTATTGATTTCTTAATATGTGAGGATATTATACAAGTTAATGGTGATATTTTATAAGTTAATGGCTTCAGAAAATAGTAATTTGTAATGTTCTTACCCGTTAATTACCAAAAAGAAAAGTAGCACGTTATATTACTAGTTACGTTTCTTTCTTTTGTCTTGCTTTGACACCTGAAAACTAATTTCTTGAATGTATGTCAACAGGTTTTTAATGTTTTGTGATATAACAAACAACTCAATAACTGAATATTGCTGATAGAATATTGCATGCGACTTTCCAGAAAGATAACTATGAAACTTATAACGCAAGTCTTTTGGGTAAATATTGAGTATATTTTACGTGTGCTATGATACTTGTGTGGGACATTTTGTTAATGATTTTTCTCATTCATCTTTTCATGTTTTTTATAGTTTAATGCGGTTACAAAAGAAGAACCTGTTTATCTAGCAGTCGAGATTTGTGCGTTTTGTTTGTAATTAAGCACAACGATACACAATGGGCTATCTGCGCTCTGCCCACCACGGGTATCGAAACTGGGATTCTAGCGTTGTAACTCTGCAGACATACCGCTGTGCCACTGGGAAGCTTGTGTGTGCACTTAGTTAATTGAAAACGAAACTAATACCTCAGTGCTAATAAAGCTTGTATATATTAAAACCATTTTTTATGCGTTTCTTGAAATTGGTCGTGGCAGTTGCTAAAAGTAAAATCTTTTTTTGACACATAGTAGATATTTCATTTGTTTAGAACCTAGAAAATGAAATTTACTTTGGCTTAAAGAACAAAGAACCAGTATAGGTGTGTACAACAGAGAAAATTTAACAGATGATCTCATTTATTTTCTCTGAAAGTACCTAATATTATCGCTTTCATTAAAACTCTAACGCATTGTTACGTCTCTGGTCGTTAGTTAATTTCCCGTAGAAATTCTTTCCGAGAAACTTCAGCGATACAAGTCCTTTCTTAAAA